AAATATCAATTACAATATTTAACAGCACTTTTGTTCAATAATCAACTTCAGGACTTCTACATGCCATCACAATTTGATTCATTTGCAAGGGCATTTAAGTATTTGCTATGAAAATACAATTTAAAACAATTCTACAGAAACTGAAAACATCTATTTATAAATTAAAGCTAATATTGAGTAGTATACACACCAGCAGCAGGTGCAGCCCCAGCCCCAACAGCAGCAGCAGCGGCAGCGGCAGGAGCCGCCACAGCACCACCTGCTGGTACGGAGGTTAACTTAGAGAGGCCTGTGGAAAAAAGGTAGAAACAAATGTTAGCCATCTTCCTTTAAAAACATCTTAAAATATTCAATGCATGTTTTCTAGAAGGGCTGACCTGAGTTCATGACTTCGTTGATGTCTTTTCCATTCAACTCGCTGATGACCTGCAGAGAAAAATAAGACTCAACTTTAGCCACAGAGCATATTCAGGAAAATAAAGCTCAACAGTTTTAAGATTGCATAATGTGAAGTTGTTAAATGGCATACTTTGTTTAAACGGTCGTCATCGGCCTCGATTCCTACGCTGCCCAAGATGGCCTTGATGTCTTTTGCAGAGGGGCTGGTGTTTCCACCGAGCACAGCCAGGAGGTAAGCGGCCACGTAACGCATTCTATATTGAAAGAAAAGTTATTAAAGATGATGGGTTAACAATGTATATGCACACTTTCAAGGTATACAACTTTGGTGTCTCAATCCTTATTTCCTGTTTGTTCCTGTCTCAAATTGTCATTATCTTTGAGTTAGACATTTGATTGGATCAAAAAAAGGATTGTAAATATGTCAACTTGGACTCTAGTTATTTGTGATGTGAAATTTGAAACAAATATTTGACATTTTAAAATCATTGTGTGAAGATAATTAAAGCAATGATACATAAACGATTTATTATACTCTGTTGACAAATATAATCGAATTGAATATTCATTTATCTTCTCTTATTGTGGTATAATATACGACCAGCGGCCATAATCATGTGCTTAATAATAACAACTGAACTACTATGAAAAAGGGCCCACGTGTATTTTGCAGGGATGTTATTACCGATAAAGCCCACTGTTGCAGCATTGCTTGTAATCACTACTAGGAAGCTGATATTCATGCTTTCCACGCAGCAGGGTTATTTTTAACTAACTATTGCGACGTCGTGGTGTACGTACCTTGAGTAAAACCGTAAGAACACATTACTCGGGAATATAATAGGAGTTGTTCCTCAAGAATAATATACATTTTCTGAATGTGGAACGTTATTTATCTCTCTGATGAATATGTTTGGGAGGAGCCCAGTTTGACGTTAGCTTAGCTATAAGCTTTAGCTGTCCGTACATTGAAACGATGCTTAGACCTCCAACACAGTCACATCAAATCAAGAATCACAGGCCAGTGGTAAGATAGCATTTTACACATTTGAGCTGTCCTTTCTTCTTCAGAAGTGTCACCATGTTTGGCTGTGATGCATTCAAGTTAAAGCTAATAGGGACAGCATGGCGGACCAGCGTCTCTCACTGTCCTCCATTTTTGACAACAATATTTATCTACTGCGCCACATCTTTCAGAAACAAAAAGCAATAGTCGAATACATGTACCATTAGAAATAATATATACAGTATCTAATCGACATTCACGGTTTAAGTTATTCACATTTTGACTTACTTTAAGTCTTAACAGACACGAAACGTCGGTCACGCTAGAGAATCCAGAAGAGGGGAAGAGGAAGGGCCGGGATTTGAGAGGAGTGAAATTGCGTCGATTTGATTGGCCCGCTGGAGTGACGCAGTCCATGATTAGAATACACAAGTGAATGAAATCCGCCTTATATCACCACACTACTGTAGCCTATGTGTTAGTATTTAATCAACAAAATGTTAACATTTTATATTCCTATATTAAATAATGGCTTATTAGAGTGATGTTAAACCTTATCATGATTGAGTGCTTTTATTATGTTCTATAAGTAATGCTTTAAGAAGATCATCTCCATTAAATACAGTAGGCTATATGAAAACAGAATAGGCCTACTACCAAGTGTCCAGTAGTTCAGAAAGTATTCAGGTGATTCACTAATAATAAGTGCAACAGTTTCCTCTTAAATATACTAAAATAGTACAAGTAAGATGCATGAAAATAAAATAATTAAGTTGAGTAAAGTAGGTTACCTGAAATGCTTAAGTACTAAAGTACAGTACATGTGTAGATGTACAGTCTACCACTGGAAGTATGTTGGAGTATATGTAGTTTGTATGATTTTCTGTTTCTTCTCGATTTTTCTATGTCCCTAACCTTTGTTTATTCTTTGTGGCTTAATTGTTTTTCTTGTGTATAACAATCCTGTATTATCAGTTTTGTGTAATGCAGAAGTATATTCCCGGTAAAATGTAACCTATTTTAACTATTAAAATAACCCACAATGCATCAAAACAGTTTATTTTTATTTTATTTTTATTATATTGTTAGATTGTTATTAGGCCTACTAATGTATTTATATGTAGCAGGATAATGTTGTGGTTGGTATAAATGGATATTATTTAATAATTGGGGAGGTAATACACAACAAGTTAAGTAAAGTATCTACTCTGATACTTAATTTACAATGAAAAAAAAATATTTTAAGAGTACAATAAAAGATGCATTTATATTGCATGTTGCAATGGCTTTAGCCAGAACAGAATCCTAACTTGATCAACAAAAGCAGAACAGTATATGACAGAACAAGGATCTGGTTAATTGCATACATTATTTATTTCCGTAGATCCATCAAAAAACATAGTCCAGAAATCATTACATTGCTGTATCTCTGGTTAGGACGGAGCTATAACTCTTTACTGGCCATTTGTTATTTAGAAAACACACATAAGATAATACATATAATTGGTTACCCTCTTTTCACAACCTACAATTCAAACAACTCCTCCTGTCTTGTCTGGGTAAAGAGCCAGTTGAACAGAAAGACCAAGCAATCTGACACAAACTCTGCAATCACTTTCACATTTGTCACATACCACATTTTATAGACAAACTCTCCCAGAAACACAAGGAAAAAAATGACCAAGAATCCGAGGAAGATGCGGTCCATATGAAAGTTTGCCTTTTGTCTAAAGGTCTTCTGCTCCCAAGGTATGGAGCGCTGAGCTTCAGAGTATTTACCAAAGTGTAGCAAAGCTTCCTCGCCATCCAGCTCTTCCACCGGAGCCTCAGGGTCCTGGTCACTGTCTGCTGCGTCAGCGTCAGCCATTTTAATGTGGTTTTCGTGCTGGAATATTCAAGTTTTCTTTAGTTGTCTGAGAAAATTGATATGATAAAGTTTAAGGAAATACATTTAGCATACCCAAGTACTGATGTTTTTGTTTGTTTTGTTTTTAAGATGAATGTGAATGGTCTTACCTCAAAAATGATTAGTTTAGGAGCAAAATAAGATGCGCACACACAATTGAACCTCTTGGCTTTGTGTCTTCACAGTCACTTAGACCATGCTCATGCCCCTTCAGCACCTTGCAGGGCCACAGGAGTGTGTGGTGCTAAGATGGTTAATGCCAGGCTGGTGATGCAGCACCTCCCTCACTAAGAAGAGGGCTGGGGATTAGAACACACTCAGCAGTTTTAAATCCCTCATCGAGGATGAAGGTGACAGATGGTAAAAAAAGTATTGATATGTTTGTTAGGGACACACTGAGACAGACAGATAGAGAGTGAGGGTTTACAAGGAAAGCATGTCATTTACAAATGGACCAAGCATACCAGCGTAGTGAATTAACACAAAAATGGGAAAAACAATAACATGCAATAGGCACTTCAAATGCACATATCGAATTATAAACTTAAACTTGCATATTCTAAACAAGTTTAGACATTTTTTTCTTATGCTTTAGGTTCTGTTCAGTGTGGCACGGAAGGGATCCAGGGGGAAGTCAAACTGATGACAAAGCAGAACTGGTGCAGCTTTAGCAGAAGCTTTAGCTTTACAGTTGGAATAAATCACCACAGCATAAAGCTCTCTTGGTAATTTGCTCAAATACTTCAGAGCCTTTTCAACACCCTGCCACGACTATTGAAAAATGGCTAAAACTAGCTGAATTAGCTGAAGAGATGCATCCTGTGACAAAGAGTAATGGCTGGATTGATTAAATGTTACTATTATACTATACTATTAAATTGTTCCATTTGGCTTTGTAACTTTATGGATAATTAGCATTCTATATGCTAGAATTGATCATTGAGTTAGTATTTACCTCAAAGAACCATTTTGCTCAAATACAGCCCCAAAGTTGCTGCAGACTCTCGTTTAAAATATTTAAACAATTTACATATAACATATAAATAGTTGTACATGCGAAATAAGAACCGTAACATTAGTATTATAAATGAAAATGGCATGCTTGTTTATTCTGGTGAATTTAGAAAAAAATGTGTTGAACATTAAATGTATGTTTGCATCACTTATCCTGTTGACAATATATAGTACAATTCAATATGAATCAAATAAGGAGGCCTTAAATAAAAACAAAATAATGCAACTCGATGAGGCTTACTTTTCTTAAAATCTATTTGTGTCAAAGAGATACAAATGGGCCAGACATGAACTTGTCCCACGACTCAACATTCCAAATATCAATTATCTCATGAGTGCCATCGGGGCACCATCTTACTGCCATCTACAAAGGAGGGCTGTACATCTTTGTAGCGATGGATTGACCCTTTTCACATTATCGGTTCCATTAAGTTGATACATGTCAATGTATCAAATCTTTCAAGTTTGACTTTTTTTGCATAATATGGCGACAGTTTTTCAATAATACATGCACATTTGACAGCTAGTGCTGACCATCCCATAAGACTTCTCTTCAATGCATTGAGAGTTATCATCAGTTTAGACATGAGCGACTGCACCATTATCCGACAGCCCGCATGAGTGAGCAGCAGTTGGGAAAACTCGGGGACTCATGACCACTGTTACCTGGTACAGGCCGGCCAAATTACTTCAACAAGATTTGTTTGTTCATTTTGCACATCCCTTGTTAAATTTGTACATCCACCTTCTCAGTCAGGGTAGGTGTGCTGGTGGGGCACGGGGTGGGCTCTGAGGGTTTACATAACATGCAGTGGCGAGTGATCTTGATCAGCGTGAGACGGAACACCTTTATCCTGAACGCATAAACCATTGGGTTGAGTGCTGAGTTCACATGGGACATGAAAATGCCCACATACATGGCAAACTTGGGTATGCTACACTCAGGGCAGAAGAAGTCAATGCAGTTCATGATGTGTATTGGCAGCCAACACACAGCGAAGAGGAACACCACCAAGGCCAGAGATTTGGCCAGTTTCAGCTCCTTCCGAAAGTACCTCTCTGCATCACACGTGGCTTCAGCGCGCCGGTTGAGCTGTCGCCGGATCACCCTAAAGATCTCCGCATACAGAGCGATCATTATGGACAGAGGAACCACAACCCAGCCAAAGAAATTGAAGTACACCATGTAGTCCATCCTCATGACAGCGGTGAATTCACAGACTATTTCGCTGGAACTGGTGAGGTTCCCTTCGAGGTTATCGAGGTTATTCCATCCAAGCATTGGAACCAATCCAGTGAGGAAGGAGAGGATCCAACACAGACAGACTGCCACACATGCCCTCCTCTGCGTCACTATGGTGGTGTACCTGAGAAGGAAAACAAATGGAGTTTTTAATCACTTTAATGCACACTGTGCTACCGGTTCTTTGAACAAATGCCAGTCTATACATTATTGTTCAGAAGCATTTTTCTCAAGTGCCAGCTTCTGACATCAGGATTCGACTGATAAACAAAAAGTATGGGCAACTGCCAAAGTCCCTTAACAAACTGTGCGTTATTTAGGCAGACAGGAACATTTTCATTTGCCTAAAAGCTTCTGGTGTCTGGCCCATCGATTTGCCCCAATGATGCAGACAACAATATATATTGTGCCATGTCAGACATTGATACTGAAGACCAACTCCTCTTGACTCTTTGAAGCTTAAAGCACATACTTTATCTGTTGGTTGAAGGGAAAAAACAAGGAGGATCAGAAAAATGAGGGTTTTGCTGTTTGAGAAAGTAATTATATTCAATGATGGTCACCCATATGTTGGTTTTGGTAAGACCATTTTGTATATATAAGGATGTACTTGATTTGATTATACTTGTATGGGAAGCTGTATAATGTGGTATCAATTAAATTTCGGTCTGAGAATAAATAGCACTTACATCAAATACACAATCATATCCAGTCAGGGATTATGCAGACATCCGCTTCCTTTTGGTCTCAGTTATAAATATTTTATTGTGTTTACGGTAAACAGAGTGTACTTGATATTGTAATACTAAACTGTGTCGTCACCATATCCTTCATCCATCACAACCAGGCCAAACTAATCTCTATTTTCTATTAATCTGACTATAAATCCTGAGAAAAACAAATGTTCTTTTGGCTGATAATATTTACTTGTGCAAAGTTCTGTAACAAGCTACATCTACATAAACCAAGTCTCTTATATGGTAAAGCAACTTTAGAAAGCATGCAGATTAGATTACATTTCACCAAGATATTGTTACATTTAGTTTAATCTGTCAATGGCTATAGTTACCAGGATCTCTTGGTGCTCAGTTACCTCAGTGCTTCAGGCTTAGTAACACGTGGAGCATGGAACAGGAATTGTGTTATTCCTCATTTAACAAACTGATTTTTGTTTTTGTAGGATTAACATGCGAAATGCATTACTTACAGAACTCAAACTAAATCCTGACTGTAATAATGTTCAGCCCTAAATGACCAAGTGCATAGTTTTGTGCTGCTTTATTGTATTTGTTTGAGTCTTGTGTTTTCTAGTTATGTGTTTTGTGTTGAAATGTATCTGCCTATTGTTTATTTGTTGTTGAATTTTATGTATTATTATTATTACATGTCATTTGTTAGACGCTTTTATCCAAAGCGACTTACATACATTCAGTACTGTGGACAATCCCCACAGGAGCAATTTGGGAGAAGTGTCTTGCCCAGGGACACAACGACATGCTGACTGCAGTGGGACTCGAACTTGCTACCCCCTGATTCGAAGTCCAGCGCTCTAGACACTGAGCCACAGCCGCCCATTATGTATTGCAAATTACTTTGGACTATAAATGCTGTGTTGTGTGACATTGATTAATGTTACTTACCTTTCCTTAAATAACCATAAAGATAAAATACAACAGTTCCTCACCTGGTGGGAATCATGACTCGCAGATATCGGTCGATGGCGATGGCTAGCAGGGAAAGGATGGAGCTCTGGGTGATGATCAGCAGCAGGCAGGACAGGAAGAGGCAGGTGTGAAACTGAGTGTTAAATCCCAGGCTAATGATGATAGCCAGAGGGATGACCAGAACTCCTACTGCAATATCAGCCACGGCCAGAGACACGATGAAGCAGAAGGTGGTGTTGCGGAGAGCCCGGTTCACACACACAGCCAGCACCACCAGCACATTGCCCACCACAGAGGCCAGGGCAATAGCTGTCTCAATGGAGATGTACATCATGTCCACATGCTCCCGCCGCTTGATACCAGGAGAAGAAGACATTTCTGCTCTTTACAAATCTTTACCTTTACTCAGATAGTGAAGAAGAAAAAAAGAATTGGCTAATGAAACTTCTTGACTCCACTTTGGGTTCTTTCAGATAAAAACAACTCCCATTATGCTCCCTCTGAGAAAGAAGTGTACTTTTTTCTTGGCCAGAATTACACAACGAATGGCCCTTGTGCTCCTGAAGGGATGTTGGATGTTTAATCCTCAGCATGTTGTTCAAGCTTTGCTCAGGACTGGATACCAGTGCATCACTACTCTTCTACATCCTTCTCTCTCTTAGTCACTCTCTCACTGGTCTGCGAAAAACGGGTCATAAAATCAAGGGGAGGGACTTTGCTTTCCGCAGCACCCTGCAGCAATAGTTTTGCTCACATTAAGTGTTTGTGCGTGTGTGTGGTTTATGAGAGGTGCTGTGGTGCATTACATAATCACAAGGGTGTTAATAATGACAAGCTCTCAACTGAAGATTGATGTGCATTAGAGCTTTATCTTAATACAAATTCATCCATATCAGCATGGAAGTAAGTGGACGAAAGTGCATTGCCAAAGAGATGCTTTAAAACAAAGTCAAAATTACAGTTTTGAAATCTGAGGGCACTGACAAGTTGAATTTATAAATATAAAATGTCCTGCTCATCCTCGTTACCATTCTCTATTGATCACACCTAAGGGATCCTTATCCAAAATGTTTGTGCCTCGCTTTTGTCAAGAAAGAAAATAAAGAGCAAGTATCCTTCCTAAATTGTGAATTCCCTTCTTTTAAAGGAAATTATCTTCTCATTTTTATTGAGGGCAATAATGCAAACAAATTATATGATTATTGTGTTGCTGTTTTTATCATTTATTATTCCTATTATTGTTAAAATCTTTTTTAGTAGACCTGAAGATTCCTCCTTTCTTTGTGTGGACCTAAAATATGGTCATACATGTTGCATTTGAATTCTGCAACATAAAAAAGAGAGATACATGAGGTTATTTGCAGTTATTGTGATATGTTTAATCCTCATTTAATCCATCAACTATAATTGTAAATCATATTTCATTAGTAACTCTGTGTTTGTATTGAGAATTCTGTACAAAAGCTGCAAAGAACTTTACATTTTCAAATTATTTATGGGTATTTATGCTGTTTTAATGTCCACAGTTAAGTGGTGTTTTATTTTTTTTATTTACAATCTTTTCTATAACTTGTACTCTGCAGGGTAAACTGTATAAGATCCAAATGTTCAATCACTTTAAAAAAAAAATACTAAATCTAATTTTCTGTTCGAGAAAAGCCTTTGGCAGAACTATCACTGAGCAAGCAATCAATGAGATGGTCTTCAGTTGCTTAAGGAAGCAAATTCAGTGTCTGCCTATAAATATATTCAGTCCGGTCACTTTACTTATCTTGTTTTTGTATATAAAGGAAGAGATGAGTCAGGATGTTGTGTTATAGGACATTGCCTATATGTTCTCAGGCTCTGGTCCATGTAGTGTTCGTGAGCTGACAATAAATCAGTTTTATTAAGCCTCTGTCGTCCTATGCCTTCATTAGTTTAAGAGGAAAGCATTAACACTTACGGATATGCAATAACTGTAAATGTCAAAAACACTGCAGTATCTTCCAACATATTCATTCAGGTCTTCCTCAGATTGATTCAGTACTGTAAAGCTTATTTTATAGTGTGGTTATATATGAGCAATTCTAGTAACAATAATATACTATTTGAGGATATTATAATAATTGATTATAATATTGATTGATAATAATTGATTAGCCAATAATTGATGTTATTTATAAGTAACATTATCATATCACTACACATTTAAATGAAAAAAAACATTAGACATATGACATCATTGGTAACCATACATAATGATATCTTCCACTGGTATTCCTCTACAGAAGACTCCCCTTTGTTGTACCAAACAAAAACATCAATATCTATAAAGAGAAGTAATGAATTTGATTATGGTTTTGCAGGGATCCGCTTGCACATGTGCCACAGAGATTACATGACATTAAAGTTCCTGTTACCGGTTCCAATTAACCAAATTATTCTCAAAATCCTCACAGAGCAGCCCAACTAAATGCTGAATTAATTTCACTTTGACATAATTATTCTAGTGCTCTGCTGTCTCTGGTTGTGTCTATATTAATTGGTCAACCTCAGGAGTTTCAGAAATGGTATTAGTGTTTGAATCAATAAAAAAAAGAATCAGGCAGTGGTTTTTAATATTATATGTACCAATCAACTCCTTCTGCAGCAGTTAGTGGTTCTAGTGAGATGGGGGAGTGCATCCTGAGTGGTTTGGTTAGACTTGGGTTAGCATGTAAGCGAGAGGTAGCTACATATGCGATAATGATGCTAATCGTAGCATCCAAGTTAAAACGTAATAGAGAAGTGTTATATATTATGAGGGATAATACTGTAGAACAAAAGGGGTCTGTATGAGGTTGGTAAAATAAGGTAATCTTTGTAAGTTAGAGAGTTATTTTATTAGGTAGGTAACTTTATGCATTGTTAAGGTTAATTTAAATTCACTATGCTCAATTATGTGTAGACTAGCTAACATCAAAGTTGTGTTGAAGAGCAGCATACTGTACGTGAAATTAATTCATTACACTTGTGAAACCAACTTATTATGGCTGTAGAACGTGAACATGTAACTTAATGCCTGCATTTAAGGACGATGAATAGCCTAGTCAATGCTTTAGTGACAAGGAAATAATTTGTTTAAATATTAAATATGACGTTATGTGTGACTTTAGTTCAAATGAAGCTTATTAATTGCATCACATTTGTTCTTCCAAAGTAACGTAAAAATAAAAAGGACCCTGACACAATACACAATCCAACATGTTGAACAGAAGAGAACTAGAGAATGCAATTCCTGAAGAAATTGCTAGTGGGAATGCTTTATGCTGAAAAGCTGACGCTAAACTGCTATGCTGAAATGTAATGTGCAAGAAGAAAGTGAAGAATTTAGATTGAAATGATACATGAACACTGGGGGCTTGAATGTGTGATGAGAGAAGAAAAGAAAGTAAAAAGGCTTGGAAAAGCAGCAGAATATTTAAACTGCAAACTTTTGAACTCATTTGATGGCGAATGATCTGTCGCCATGCCAACAGCATTTGATGACATCCCATAATACGCCTAGATGCGTTGATGGCTGCATCGTTACCAAACCTGTGAAGTGTTGGGCCATTTGGAGCATTTTCACTGAAGTTATGAGAAAACCATGTTTCATGGTGAGCATTGTGTTGCCATGGCAACGGCAATTGAAGAAATCTCAAAACTGTCCCGTAGATGTCTTCACGGCTGGACTGTTAGCACACATGTGAAGTTTGAGCACTTTTTGAACATTTTCATATGAGTTATAGCGACATCGTCTTTTATGGCGAGGGATGCGTTTCCATGGAAACGGCATATGATAACACCCCATAATTGACGTAGAGCTGTTGAGGGCTGGACCGTTAACCATTATCTGAAGTCTGGTGCTGTTTTGACCCTTTTCATAGGCGTTACGACAACATCGTGTTTTATAGCGAGGGATGCGTTTCCATGGAAACGGCATATGGTGAGATGTCATATTTGACGTAGAGCTGTTGAGGCATGGAGAGGTGATATACAGGTGAAGATTGTGGGACGACCGGACCGTGTCCATTGGAGCTACAGCGACATCGTGTTTTATGGCGAGGGATGCGTTTCCATGGCAACAGCCTATGGTGAGATCTCAGATTTGTCGTAAAGCTGTTGAGGCATGGAACGGTGATATACAAGCGAAGTTTGGGGGACGATCGGACCGTGTCCATTGGAGTTACAGCGACATTGTGTCTACTGAGGGTCTACTGGCTCGATTGCGCCCTTGGCCAAGAGGACGGATAACTCTTGGGCCAGAGCTAAGGCCTTCGCCGAATCGCTGACAACTGTCATTTTGACCCGGCCAAAGGCTAGGGGCCGGAACTGCAGTTCGTACCCCTGGGTTAAGGTGGAGCCCCTTGGGGGGCGCCGGTAAGGCTCTGAGGCACGAGGCTGCCTAGAAGGCCGGGGACCAGGGGCACGAAAGCCACCAGGAGGCGGTTGAGTAGGCCGCTGGGACCTCCGCAGACCACCACTGTAAGCTGGTGGCTGAGTGCGGCTGCTAGAGGGGCCCCTGGGCCTGCTGGGAGTCGGCACAGGCCTATGAAGACCCGAGAGCTGCTGCCTGGTCCGCCTAGCTTGGGCAGCACGCTCCAGTGACTCCAGGGCAGCTGCCCCAAACAGCTCCCCTGGCTCGACTGGCACACTACGGAGGACATGTCTCCGACAGTGGTGACTGAGCAAGCCAAACCTGGCGACGAGTCTGCACCAATAAGGACATAACTCGTCCCAATTCTCTAGACATTAGGGCAAAGACTTGCAGTGATGCATCACTGAGGCCCAGCAAAGAAGGCTCGGCCGGAGCCTGCTGCAGAGAGGTAGAGACAGCCAGCATCAGATGGGAGAGGGAGTTCCCGTTACGACCCATGCGTGCCGCTGTGTCGTAGGCCTCACAGAGCAGTTCGTCTGTGACCCTGCACTGAGCATGACCTGGCATCAGGCCTTGGAGCCTCATCAGGAGCCAGAATCGGGGAGGCGATGGCAGGCTCAATGGATGGCAAGCGACCCAGCCCCACCCTCGCCGGATCCTGCATGGCAGCAGAGTGGTAGAGGGCCCTGGTGTCTCTCCAGCATGCATGGAGCTCCCTCAGGTACTCCTCTACAGGGAGGAGGTTCAGCATCTGACAAAGTGGTGTGCCGACAATAACCTGGCCCTTAACACAACAAAAACAAAATAACTCATATGGCGCGTTCACACCAGAGTACTTTTCCCACAATAGTTCATCAGAACTCAGATATATTTGCGTTCACACCAAAAAGCCCCCTGAACTAAATTAGTTCATCAGAACCATTTTTACCCCCTTTTCCGTCCCTGCTAGAGAGCAGGGACTTTCGTGGGAGAAAAAGGTTCCTATGTCTGATTGGCTGGGCGGAATGCAAACCACGCCCCTTAAAACTCCCAAAAAGTTTTGTGAAGCTGCCATTTTATTATCCTCGCATTAGCATTATTAGCATTAGCATTAGCCCAGCGCACAAACGCAGAGAGACTAACTTATGGCAACACAAAAGAAAACATGGGAGCGGTGGAGATGAGGAGGTGTCGGAGTTCTGGCGATTTACTCGGAAGGCTTCAGTAGAAGCTGCTGGGAGTCCCAGCAGCTTCTACTGAAGCCAGTCCCCAACTCCGGGGACTTCCGGCCGGGGACTCCGGGTGGCAGTATACGCCGTGAAGTGGTTTGCGGCCTGCCAGTAAACCCAAAGCAGAAGAAGAAGAAGTGACGTCAGCGGCTTCATTTGCCTAATCCACCCCCAGGAACTCATTGCGGTGTGAACGCGATCTGCTTTAGTTCATCAGAACTAAAAGAGTTCTCATGAACTATTGTGGGAAAAGAACTTGGTGTGAACGCTCCTATTGTGGACTTCAGGAAATCGAAAGGCAACACACACACTCCCATCCACATAAATGGAATGGCGGTGGAGCGTGTGTCTAGCTTCAAGTTCCTGGGGGTCCACATATCCGATTACCTCTCATGGTCCAAAAATACCACCAGCATAGTAAAGAAGGCTCACCAGCGTCTCTTCTTCCTGTGGAGACTAAAAAAAGGTCACCTCTCTGCTCAGATTCTGGTGAACTTTTATCGCTGCACCATTGAGAGCATCCTGACCAGCTGTATCACAGCCTGGTATGGGAACTGTACAATGCATTGCAGAGGGTGACGAAAATCGCCCAACGCATCATCGGTGTCCCACTCCCTGCCATCGAGGACATCCAGGGGATACGGTGTTTGCAGAGGGAGCACAACATCTTTAAAGACACCTCTCATCCTGCAAACTATCTGTTTGTCCTCCTACCCTCGGGGAGGCGCCTCAGGAGCCTCCGGTCCAAGACCTGCAGGTTCAGGGTCAGCTTCTTCCCCAGGGCTGTTACCCTGCTGAACTCTGCTCCCTGATAGACTCAAGCCCATACCCACCACCCACCTGTTTATATATTTTACTGTCAATGCCGTTTACACTGTATATATTCATCTGTTTATCGCCTATTTATAATTATTCTATTTATAATAATTCTATTTATAATTATTTTTATTATGTAGACTCCTGCACTGCTATTTTGCACTTCTGGTCAGATGCCTAACTTACATTTTCATGTACTATGTAATGACAATAAAGTTGAATCTGAATCTGAAATATGATTTCCCAAATCTGTGTATACTTTTTACAGTAATCTCGAATTAATCAGGCCACTTCAGGGCCCCAATTCACTGTCTGTATAATTGAATAGTCTTTGGAGAATTATTTTTTATTGAAAGTAAGTTTAAATAATTGTTAACTGGCTTTATAATTTTTTTCTGTGACAGAATAAACTTTATACATGACAAGTTAATGGCAGCAAATATAACTGTCACCTTTGCAAAATGTCAATTATAGACATATAAACAAACTTAATTAAAAATAATATATCAAGTGTAATTTGGGCTAATTCGATAGTTGAACGCAAATATGGTAATCAAGATTGTAATCAAGTATTGTATGTAAGTCAGTAACATTCATTATTTTGATGCATATTATAAGATGACAAATACACCACCAGTGGTACAAAGACAACACAGCAGATAAGTGAGAGAAAAAAATTAAGAGAGCATTCTCAGAGTTTAAGAACAAGGATGTGGGATTCTTATTGGTATCAAAAGTATTATATGCTGTTACTGTAACTGAATTGACAAATGCAGCACAATACAAATCAATTCAGTGTTGACCGTGACATTGTACCTGAAAGAAACTCATGGATTAGTGGAATAGTGGCTTGTTGACCTTGATGTTTGCATGGTGAAAGTGGTTGTGGCTTACTTACCTTCCATGCTTTAGGGCAGCAGTTTAAAAACAAAGTAGTTTGCATGGTCACAAATCTGTGTCAATAATCACAAAACCTAAAATGTGGTATCTAAGGTAAAATTACTTTAACGGTAAAGTTACTTGTGTAAGATACATTTGTTGTCAAGTAATAACTCTCATTTCCTCTTGATGGGACTCTTATGGTCCTTTTTCTTCTTTTTTCTTGAAACCACAATATTTTTATTTTATCCAGCTTTAAAAAAAAGGAAATTCTATAATGCAATGACAAACAAGTATAATGTCATTAGCCTGCAAAAAGATGCAGATGCATAGCTTGAAGGCAAAGTAAAAAAACTTGTGTGGCCAAGTACTTCCTCAAAGGTTTCACAATAACTAGATGAATGATATAAATGCCCAAGTGCACAATCTCAGACTCACATTCAGACACGCAACACCATCAGTTATCAAACATTAGTCAGAGAGTCACAGGAAGCACAATGGATGTGGATGAAATGATCTACACGTTTTTCGAGGTGCTCATTGCTGTTAGCTGCTGTCTTGGTAATATGTTGGTGATTTTGGCGCTGTGGACCAGTAAAAGCATTCAGGAGCCCACCTTCAGTCTTATCGTCAGTCTGGCTGTGGCTGACTTTCTGGTCGGCTGCGTTGCCATACCGATGGCTGTGGTGGTGGTCGGACGAGTGCCCACTTCATTTCATGGCTGTGTCTTCATCAGCTGTGTGGTCATCCTGTTGACTCTGGTCTCAGTTTTGTCCCTCATGGCTATTTCTGTGGACCGCTTCCTCCGGGTGCATATCCCTCTCTGGTAAGACCTCTTCTGGATTGTTTATTGTGCAGAGAAAAGTAAAATATTGCTGCTCAATTTGGCTTTAAATCATAAGCCTTACATCAATATCTATTTTATCTTAAACTCATCTCTTGCCCTTTTGCATGGCTTGCACTATAAAAAAACTGTACATCACTACAATGACTTGATTGTTTCATATGATTTGTAAATGCACTTTGTATTTTTAATACATAATTAATGTTATCAGTAATACATTTTTTCTTTGTAGGTACAAAAGGACTGTGACGCAGAGACATTCTTGCCTTGTGGTCGCAGCATGTTGGCTTGTTGCAATACCACTGAGTTTTGCTCCAATGCTTGGATGGTACAACCATGGCACCCTGTCTAAGTCAGTAAACTCTACCATTATCTGCAAGTTTATTGCTGTCATGCCCATGTCATACCTGGTTTACTTCAACTTTGTTCTCTGCACCCTGATACCTCTGTTGGTGATGACCACTCTTTACGGCTACATCTTCTGCACCATCCGAGGAAACCTTCGAAATAAACCAGGCAACGGGGCCCAGAAACAGTGTCAGAAGTATCTGAAGAAAGAGAAACAGCTGGCAGGATCTCTGTCCCTGGTCTTGGCTCTGTTTGCCTTGTCCTGGCTCCCTATCCACATTATAAACTGCATTACTTACTTCCGTGGGAAGAACGATATACCAGTTGTATATATCTATGTTGGCATCCTGCTTTCTCATGCTAACTCGGCTGTAAACCCAGTTGTGTATGCGTTCAAAATAGAAAAGATCAAGACAGCGTACCTAAAGCTCTGGAGACAGTATATCTCATGTGGAGAAATAAATCAAGGATCTCAGACAAGCCAGACAACAGACAATACTCCCAGTAGTAACAGTGATGCCAATAATGAGTAAAGGAAAATTTCCTTGTTTGTCTTCGCTTCTTTCGTTAGTATTTGGGATAATGGCATAAGATGATAGCATAAGATGTATTGATACGGTAAACACATCTAGCCTCAGAAAGATATGTTATGTTCAGGATTGTGTGTGTGTGAGTGGGAGTGTAGCGAAAACAGTCTTGCAGAGAAGAAGGGCAACTTCCACTTGTCTAAGAGCTTTATTTTAGTTTCACATCAGTGTTATTTTTCTGTTTCCATCAAGTTTCAGTTCTTCATGTGTATTTCAACAGAAAGCGCTGTTTGATGGTAAAAACCTTCACAATCTTCGAAAGAGAATACAACTTTAAAAACCAGGTCTGTTTTCAGAAATCTCAAGCACAATTATCATTGTTATCTATACTTTAGAAACATTCTTGTACTGCTTGTAAACTTAATAATAAAATGATGGCGCTTTTCCACTGCAGCATGTAGCACGGTTTAAGCTTTTTTTTGCTTTTCCACTAGCGGTAGTTCCGGCTCAGGGCTACTTTTTCACCTTTTTTCTGGCCCTCCAAAATCAAGGTTCTTACCGGGCCAACAACCGGGCTGAATATGCTAAACTAGTGACGTAAACACTCTCGACTGCTGAGAGAACCGCTGGCAAGGGGGCTACAACTACAACAAAATGAACATATTTAACCTTGATTTAATTGTAATACACGTTTCAAAATGATGCCGAAGTAACAACATACTGATACCGGTCTGCAGACAAGACGGCAGGCGAAAAACCTTTTAAAATGCGTGTTTTCTGAATGGAGATCGGATCGATCAGGCTAAGCTAACGTTGTATATGCTCCGTCCACACTCACAACAACGGCCTACAGACATAAATAAACCAGCGACTGTATTCGCCATGACACAGACAGTCTGTGGTTTGTACTTGTTTAACTTTTGTCTAGTTTCTGAACAGATATGAGGAGCTGTGAGCTCTGAGTGCTAACAGCTAACGGCTGATGTTTTGGTTTCGTGGTTTGCATTGAAGATGACGTCACAGCAGTTTTACGCAGCGTCGCTCCGCCCGCTGAACAGCCGATCGCCCTGCCTACACTGCGTTACTATAGTTACTACCCCAGTTCCTAAACTGTAATGGAAACGCAGCATAAAGTGAGCCTGGCCTACCAAGGCCTAACCATACCGTACTAAGCCGTGCTAGGTCCTGCAGTAGAAAAGCGCCATTAGAAACCAATGACACATTATTCAAAAGCTCTGCAACACGTTATTTTATGTTCAGACTGTATCATATATACTGTATCATTTGTATAGCTTTTTTTTCTTGTCGCTCCCAAAAGGAAGAAGAAAAAACACCAGACACATTTCAAAAGATTCAGTGTAACAGAACAATACCACAAAAGGAACTAATCTCTGACACAAACCTTTCACATGTCAGGAAGGAGAAATGTATTGTAAAGCTGTTGTATTGGATTTTATTATGTAACATATATGTTCACATTTTTCTGTTCAATGGGTTCTATATATAGATATATATATATATATTTTTTTCCTACTGGTTCACAACCAAACCCACGTTCTTGGAGAAATTAATTTAGGTCTGCTAAATGTAAAAATAAATCAAGATCAGTCAGTTATTTAAATGCTATTATCGGTAATGAGTCACAACAAGATATAGTATTTGTGTAGCCAGGAGAGATTTTAATGAATAGACACCAAACCGTCAGCTTCTCACAAATAATGGCACTGACACCTGATTTCATTGGTACATCAATTTAATTCAAAGATGAATAAACGTTTTCTTCCGTGAGCAGTATTTATTTTATTAGCCTGTCATTTGTTTTGTGATTTATGTTTGTCTTACTTTGTTATTTCTGAAATTCATCTGAAGTAGGAGTTGTTATTAGATCTGAAATCAAATGTTTGTTTTTTTAAGTTCCTTATTTCCTCATCAAGAAATCCAATGTATATACAGCTACATTATTCTGTACCTACAGCAGCTTTTGTAATTAGTACAAAGTCAATTACAATTGTCTGTAATGTTCATGAATAAAGTCTATTAGTGAGCATTTACTTTTCTGTCTTCTGTAAATTGGTTTTGCATATTTACGAGCCACAATTTTTAGCTAGTGTACTTTTACATTTTTAAAGTCCAGAGGTTCTCAAACTTTTCAGGGCTCACTACAAGTTGTACTCTTACTATGCCATTGAAAGTAGTTTTATCCTAAAACTTATTGATGTAATATGTACAATTGTGTCAGAGTTTCTATTGGCCCAAAATATAATACCAATAGAATTTATACCAAACTATTTTACAAACCCCCAGGTTCCACTGAACACTTTTTGAGAATCACTCCTTTAGTCTACATTAAACAGGGGCACTTTCAAATCAGGTTTTCAACTTGTAATACAGCATGCAAATTAAAAAAAACACTTCCTTTTGCGAATGCATTAACCACAATGTCATTTCCTATTTTATCATGAACATTACATTGCATTTAGCTGACGCTTACAATAAGTGCATTCGACCAAGAAGATACAAATTTGAAGAAAACAGAATCGTATAAGTACATCAGGTTTCATGGAGCCAAACCATTTTAAGTGCTACTCAACTGGCTTTAGATAAGCCAGTCCTTTGTTAGTATATAAGTGCTTTGTTAGTAATTGTATTGCTCGAAGTGGAGTCGAAGTTTGAAGTATGAAGTTTGCATACTGTACAGATTCATATCTAAACACATTGAGTTTATAGTGACTCATTTTGTAACTATTTTCTCAAAGGATCTATTAAAACTTTTTTTTTTTTTTAGCAATACATCAGATTCAGTCAACTATCACACTAAACAACATTCTACATTTTAGGCAATCCAAATTAGTTTCGTATGGCTTTATTTCATTGATTACCAATGTATCTGATAAACATCTCTTGCTGTACAACCCATTAATAATAATAAATGACTCTTTATTTTCACAAATTCAATTCAATCAGGCAAAACAATTAAAATGTCAAATAAAACACACAGAAAATGGAACAAAATACTCAACAATTAGAAACATATTCATAGATTGTATTCATAACACTATTTTAAATATTTTAGCATCTAGCATTTAACATCATTGGTGTTAAATATAACGTTAAAAAAAACATTTGGTAAAAAAACATGGGAATGTAATATTTAAGCTAATATTTAAAGGTGGGGTAGGTAATTTTGGAGAAACCAGCTCGAGTGCGCAAGAATTTGAAAATAAACAGCTGGAAAAAATCTGCCACTTCCTTACAGAGCCCCTCCTCCAACACACACGAACGCGCACATGACCAATGAGGGCACGAGATAAGTTTGTGCACAGATGGAAGGCTGACAGGCAGGTAGGCCATCCAGTTATTTTAGCCGGGCCGGCTAAAATGATTGGTCGTACTTTTTACAGTACTACGGCTTCCACAGATGAAATATTTTTATGGATTTTTTGTCAAAGCACTTAAGATATTCATTGCTATCGGGATGTTAAGAGCATTCCATGGAATATAACAAAAAGTGTATCTCGAGCCGGTTTCTCAAACTTACCTACCCCACCTTTAAGCTATTTCAAGCTGACAATTTTTCATACTTTGATTCGGTACAAATGTGACTGAATTACGCAGCGACGGCCATGAAAGAGCCTTTATATGTCAGTATTGCAATGAGCCTTACGATGTTTGTGAACATGGCCCTAGATACACAGAGTATAGTTACCAAACTTTCCATAATCTTCAGAGTGATGATAGTCTTTGGCCACATGATGGCGTCAGAGTGGCCCCTTTACCACCCATGTGAATGAGCTTCATCCCAAGCACTCATTGTACCTCTCAAGAAAGGTATTAGACTGTATAGTTATCGCCTGAGTAGGATTTACTCCATCCCACAAACTATACAACCTACTACCTCACCTTGCCAGGCTCAATTTCCGGCACCAAATATCATGACTTTATTCTATGTGCCAACTTCAGTAGGTGTTGTCATTAGATTAGACTAGTTCCATCAGTATATCTGTCTATATACTATATATAGTCTTCTACTCAAAGGTGAAGAACGCGCTATCTCCTAAATCTACTTTACTTGATGTGTCCATGAGTTCCTTTATCCACAGAGCCTCCCATGTACATACAGGCTTTGGCTTGGAAGATCAACCTGTCTCCTTAGGAAAGACAGTAGATTGTATAGTTATCTCAGAGGGAGGACAAAAACCCCACAACTATTCAATCTACTACCTCAGCCTTAAGGACAGATACTCTTGCAGGCAGCAGTAGACATCTATTTGGTCCAACTGTGAGACAAAAACAAAGAGACAATAAGTTATCTTTTGGATCCACCCGAGACAAACAATTGTTAACAAGTATTTTCAACATGTGTATTGGCCAAGATGTGAAGGTTTTCCTGCATGTTGTCCATTTAGTACTCTAAAATAAATTCCCTATGACATTTAATTGTGACTTTGGTTGCCGTAAGCTGCTGCAATATCAAAAATAACATTCACAAATACCAACTGTTAAACAACATTATTCAAATGACAAACCCATCGCCATGAAATTAGGTATTCTGTTAACAGTTTTATAAGTAATTACCTTCTAGGAGCATACAGTCTCTATGCTTACCACATTTTAGCCTGAGTTGTAAACTCAAGGGTCAGTTCACCATACTTACAATTAGCTTGACAGTGCAACTGTGTTTATGTAAGTGTTGTTCAGTATCTGACCGATAGCATTGCTCTCCGCAAGTATTTTGCCAGTGTTTTAGAACAACAGGTGATCGGCTACACTGCCCATACTGGTGATGTGCAAAATAAATGCTGCTTTCTTAATGATTAGTACTTTAAATACAAAATAAACCATGCACTGTAGAACCCAGAGAGCTTACTTTCATGAAAAAGGTTTATGATTTAGGGCAGCTGTGCCAAGTATCAGTGCCTATTTTACTCGAAAACTTGGCTCTCCAGCTCCTATCCCTCAGAGATTTGAAAAAGCAAAGTTTAAGCATGTTTCACCCAGTTCAGTCATTTCTGTCTCTACAACCAGAAAGCAAAGGAAGAACGATGGAAAATGGCAGTACCTCGGCCATCTTAGAAAGTCGTTTGGCACCAGTACCAAACATCTGTGGTGCAACCTGTTAACTTTTGCCTCTTCCTTCCAACCCCTATCCAGAAGAAATAGTGTTTATTTTCCCTCAAAGAATAGCAGAGGGGATGTTGAGACTGGCTAAAAGAATTGCTTGTTCATAAATTACTTCATAGAGTTGATTGTTGCTGATTCCCAAATGCGTGCCAAGATATTCAGCAAGTGATTTTTTGTTTTCGCTTGAGGTCGTTTAATAGGGGAGCTGAAGGTTTGACTTTAGAATATTGTCCTTTTTGCTCCGTGTGAAAGCCACTTAAAGTCCATTGAAAAGGGAGTCTGTTTACCGTGCCAACAGCTAGAGTCTGGGACACAAGCTGGGCAGAGCTGTCTGGTCCCCGACAGAGCCGTACTTTGGCTGAGCGGACTGAGCCCAGACACTGTTATGGTAGACAACGATGGTCAACCCATGCAAAAGCCAGGGTGCTTTGCATAAATTAGCATGTGAACCATGGTGGCTGAAAAGCGGCTGGGCAGGTCATTAACATTCGGAATTTCTCTTTGGCCTAATTAATGCCGACAGTGATTGAAATGTTTTGGCAAGCTTTTCAGCTATGGTGCCAGGGCATGCACATTGGGGCAGAATGAAAAGGCACAAGGGCATCAGCGAGTGGGAGGCCTTAATTGAGATGTTGAATTAATTAGACAGTAAATGGTATCAAAATCTTCTAAATGCCTCGCCAACGCAAAGAGGATGGAGTGAAAGCAGAAGTGGACTCAACTTTCTATACAGGAAAAGTTGTGGGCTATAAACATTTGTTGTGGTGATGGACTATTATTCTGTTCGATGGTGATGCATTGAAAACTTCTAGAAACATTTATTTGTTTCAAGATGTGTGCTCATCCATCTTAAGTTATACAAAATATGAAAATAATATCAGACTAAAAACATAAAGTGTTTTTTGCATTCTTTCATTAAATGAACAGCAGCCAGTCTGATTGAAACATCAGTTCTTCTACAGCTACTATAACTTTAGACAAGTTGTAATTCCCATACAGAATACATCACCCAACCCCAGGCCAGTTAGGCATGCAGACTGGTACACTTTTTTAGTCATTCTTACCTTGATTGTTTCCCAATATCCTGTTTGTTAATGCATTAAAACCAAAGCTGCTATAACCCCAACTAGTACCTCCTTTACGATTAAGTGTGGGTAGGTTTCAATCGTAAAACTAAAGCAATTGTTCTTATCTTGTTCAAATGTTCCCATTTGGTGTGATGGTTTGCCTTTGACAGTAAGTCAGTCCCCAAGCTGCAGATGATAGGAAAATGGCTGCCCTGTTGCAGAGTATAACGAAGGAATAGTATTATAAATCCATGACCTTCATGTAAGACTCATTTGGAACAATCAATGCCCCACAAAACATATCAGTGACACGTTCATTCACTGTTGCCTTAAATAGAGATGCCTATAGCTGCTTCTCTAAAAGTAGTAAACGTTGAACTTAATAAAGATATCCGTGATGTCAAATGCACAGGCGCCGAAAAAAATAAGAATATAGTAGATGAAGACGCAAAAAATACCCTTTACAGGTTGGCGTTTGTCCACGATGATCGACGGAAACGAGGGACGACTGTGAGGGACAGACTGATTGTTTCTGTTGTGCTGCTCTCTCCAATATTTGGTGCCAAGAAATGGGCATTGTCTGCGTGCCAAGCTGAATCTCAATGAGACAAAAAGGGGGGTGATGTCGTGGATGCAGCATGGCAGAACCCATCACTGAGGGGGGAGGAGAGTATTGGCAGCCAAGCAATGAGACGATGCCATGTCAGAAAGAGGCTATGATACCACCACACAATAAGGTATAGTGGCATAGCTTGCTGCCAGATGCTCAGTGTCCTTGCCATGTAAGCTAGGTGTTTTATAGAAAAGTCCATTGTGCCATAAGAAGACTTTGTCTTTATGTTGGACAAGTGGTTATGAGCCTCAGGAGTTTACCTCTTCTTGGCAGCTGATGTGTCTTGACATCTTTATTAGAACATCAATTCTACACTATAAGCTAATTGTAATTTCAAAGGAAAGCACCATATAACCGAGTCGTATTTTATTACAAAAACTACTTCTCAATTGAATCCAGAAGAGTAATCCTATCTGCTGTTATGTTTAACACAGACTAATGTTGAGAGCATTAAAGTTTCAGTATAAACTGGACTGATTTTAATGTGCGGACTTGCAGAAACCTCTAGATAGAGGACTTCTTTGGTGCTTTGACTGTGATGGTGTTTTTTCCACAAGGAAATTCAGGTCTTTAAACTATTGAATCAGTTAGTGTTTGCTTATTCCAATCTACAATCTTTTGGGAAATGTACAATTAAACACAACGTTATTTAATTTTAAATTCCATTCTCCTGATTACTCTCTATCCTATTTATTTTTCTCTTATTTTCCCAGTACGCAAATACTTTTCTGTTCAAGTATTAGGACATTTTAATAACTAAAATGTAAGGGTTTGAGGGATATTACAAAAACTTAAAATGAGCACATTTGTGTTTTGGACAAATCGGTCATATCTCTTACCAACAGTTTGTATTAAAGTTAAGCTGCTTGATTTCAATACAAAGGCCTGAAAGCTTAAACAGTATGAGGAGAATGTTTGGAGTTGAAAGTTAAGTAAACTATTGTCATATATACGTGGCTGTATTTTGTCACAGGAAACCTGCCAATTATATATTTCACACTTTAAGACAAATGCAAGGCCTCTTATAGAACTCTGGACCTTTCAGATGTTACTCTCAAGATAGATTTCTAATAGCATTTGCTCAACGGTTTGAACTTGTAGTATTTTAAATGTGAAATGGCCGTGGTCAAAAGAATCAGATCAAATGCTGTTTATAGGCCATAAGTCTGTTTTGCTAACAAACAGGAAGAGCTGAATATGTGTATGCGGTATGAACTGATAAAAGCACCAACCGAAAAACAAAATAGACTTTGATCCTGTTAACCACGGAGTCAATTGAACGAAGGGGAGGAGAGAAGTGCAAATAGCAGAGGATATGGCTTTCCAAACAACATGTCGTCAAGCAAGTTCATGTGAGGATAACTGGGGGAGGAGGAAATAAGTTAATTTTCTCTCTTACTGCCCTCCTTTTTTTTTTTCTTCATTCACCGTATGTCACAATCTGCCCTTATCACACACTTAAACACAAACCCAAATGCTGACTCGACTGTATGCAAACAAAACCACACACAGCTGCACAGCAAGTATCGTGTGCCAAAATGTTTGCAATCAGTCCACAAGAAGACTGACCGGTTGATATACAGTTTGAGGGCAATCTGTAAAGTAAAAAAAGTTAGTTATTCTTGTTTATGTACCATTTTAGTAATGTTTTTATAGCTTTTGCACCTCTTGTGGTTAGAAAAAACAAACCAGTCTTGATATAAAACCAAGACCCTGCCATCTTACAATGCAAGCCCCTTCATGTATAGAACAATGCTTGCAACAGAGGGATCTGGTTCATACTGGTTTGTGAACAGGTCTATCAAACCGCAGCGTTCAAGAACATGTCAAGAAGTGATACGATTTGCCTGTGTGATATACAAACCACAGATATTTTTAAGATGCTTTTACTAGCCTGTGGGATACTTTTTCATTATGTGGTTTAATAAATGATGAACAGTAGTCACAGTATAGTTATAGAATATAATGTATTGCCTTGCAGATTTCTCGCACCTTCGAAGCAACCCTGCAACACAGAAACCGAAATGTTTAATCAAAAGGGCTAAATGCCTTTTATCTCCCCCTAGAATTTCCTGTTTGAAACTTAGAGGCAATTATTACTTTTGATGGGGTGAAATGCGTTTGTTCTAAGTGCCGAGTTGTAGTGTCTTAAGGCCCTGACTTGCAGTAAATTATACTTAAATGTTGGTTTTTACTAGTCCTGTACTTTAAGAGGCAGTAACACAACCACAAAAACGTCTTTTACTCGGGGCATTTGTTTATATCGTTCAGTTTGTGTAAACAGACTGAACGTTACAGTAACTATAAAAAAAAGGCTTTGTATCATTATTTCTGAATGCATTCGAAAGAAGAAACTACCGTATTTAAAAGTAAATCCTACTGTGTATTAATCGAACTGAAACGTTTGAGATTAAGGCATTGCGTTTAGTGCAAAGCAGACACGTGTACAGTATGGAAGTAGACCAGAAAGGAAGTGCAAAAGAAAGGAATAAAGGGAGACTTCAGTACAAAGAGGAATATCAATACCTAAACAGAAGCAGAATTAAAAAATAGAAATACCTGGAGGTGAGTTTTTTGTACAGGTCGGGCTTGTGTTCACCTTCAGAGAATTAGGCCAGGTTGGCGGCGAAAAGAAAAAAAAAGGCGGGTTAGGAAGCAGACAAGAATGCATTTCCACATCCCTCTCTTTCGCCTGCAAGACAAGGGAAAGGCTGAGCAGTGTACCAGCAACCCCACTTGAACAAGGGCTGGGGCTTGAGAGCAGATTCTGGGCCATGCCCTCCTCTCTCCCTGCCCACTTTTGCCCCGCTGCCAAGAGGCAGAGACAGCAAGGAGAAAGAGACGCAGGAAAATAAATCATGAAGTCACAAATTTGTGCTTACAAGGCTCTAGTAAAGATATCAAATCCACCCGTAATATGCATACAATTAGACTGAGCTGAGCTTTAGGGAGAACTCACAGTTAATAGACTTAACTCACCACCACATAAAGCGGATCAGTCATATGAACTGTAGATTATGTGTCATCAAAAACACATCTCACTTGACAGTAGGATTAGGGGGTGGGGGGGGGGGAGAAATAGACAGAGAAGTAAGCTCGGGGGGAAAAAATCAGAAGTGATACTTACACGCTGTCTTGAAGCACAGCCAGAGGGTTTGACAGATTTATCTGAAGTTGGTCAAACAATTCAGTGCCAGATATTCCTGAAGCATTTCAAAGTAAATGAGTTAAAGACTGCTCTCCGTGCAGTAAAGCCTTTTGTCAGCAGTTGGCACCATTCCCAGGTAGTACATGCCTCAGAGTTCCCATTTGCAGTAGTTACTCCGAATGTCTTTAGTTGTTCTGCACCTGCCTGTGGTTTTTTTCATATTTTTTGCTGAGTCGATAGAGAGGAAATGTAACACCTGATATTCTGATTTAATTTGAGTGGAATATTGAATAGAAAGCAGTCATTACTGTCAACATAACAGATTAAACGGGTAATTATCCTTAAATCTGTGTCATGGAGCTCTGAAGCGAGATAAGGGCAAGGAAAGGGTAAATCTCTGCGAGCAAGAAATCCAAAAAAAGGTTTAACGTAGACCTTCCCCAACAGATTGAAGGAATACACTAAAATAATCCAATGTGCAAGTCTCGAGTAGAGCACCACGATTTAATTTCTTTAATGTGTCCACGCTACAGAGTGCCACAGAAAGTCTTTCCTCAGGCAATATCCAAGACAGCTTCCTGTGTGACGTCACTGACTCTTCATTTTTTTTTTAAAGCAACTATGTCCATACATAAACTTGAAATCCTGTATCTCCTCATGCAGTCTTCTTTCCAGGACACTTTCTCTTCATATCCTTCAAGAATTGGTAGTTTAATTAAACAAAAAAGCAAGCATGAATCACTGTGCTGACATCTCAGGCAGATTCGAGGAGAGGAGAGGAGCTGCTAACAAATCTTAACTCTGTGTCTTTCTCTTCCTGCTCACGAACACTGAGCTTGTAAAAGTTTCAGCTGCAAGGATTCGGGTCTGCCTCTATTGGCACCGTTTCAAAAAAGCACTGCCTGTTTCAGAAAAAGGCAGGGGACAAGTCTGCAAGGGGAGCACCGGCTCTTTGTACTCTCTCTCCCGCCTCTCAGGGACTCGGGGCAGTGACCGCTCCCAGGACTTTTACTCTCTGCTCTCAGGGTAATGCCACCTCGTGCCAGCTCAGGCATCTGCTCGTCTGTAAGGGATCCACAGCTCTCTGGGTCACTGTGAAGAGGCTGTCCTTTATATCACAGACACCTAGAGAATAGGAAATGCAAGCTACAGCACTATTTCCTGGATACTTTGTCCTCCATTTCAGATGTGTGTCAAGCTCTCACGAGGCTCGGCGCTGCTTGTGTTACAGCTCACACAAGCTTCTGCCTCTATTTCTGCTTTGAGTTGCTTAGGGTTTCTCATCTAGCCTTCCAAGTTGTTTATTTGTCACCACTTCTCAAGATTTATTTCTCTTGTGTGGTGTTAACCTGCAACATTTGCCCTAAAAAAATAATGCACTTGATATAAAGTGCACAAAAGTTTATGTTCCCAATACCAACACACTTTAACTCTCACTAGTGTTATTCTCATATTCCAAGGGTAAGCTCTCCCTCTGCTCACATTATTGTAAAGCCTCTCTGTGCAGGTGTCATATAGAGGACACTGAGGTTCTCTGAGCATTGTGTACTGCCAGCAGCAGGCAGAAAGGAGAACTGTGTGAAACAATATTTGCCAACACTCATGTTTTTCTTACCCCAGTGCGGCCACAAGTTAGTGATGTGAGGAGTGATGACAGTAAAAGCATAAAAAGTAGAATATTATTAAAACTTTCTGGAATTAAGACTGTCTTTGTTTCCCTATCGTCTAAAAAGCTGTCAGCACTTCAGAAACACACTGACCCTTCACACAGCTATCTGTGCAATGGCCCAATGGGAAGGGTGTAAAGATCACATGACCGCTGTAAGCTGTACAAGTTATCAGAAACAACTGCTCCTTCTCAGAGGTTATAAAAACACAGTTCTCTCTGCAACTTACAATAAGCAGCATACTGTACAGGATGCTAAAGAAAACACTGCACATTCTATGAAAACATGCTCTTCCAGCTGGTGAAATCATACACTTACAAACTCTCAACTTTTATGATTGTGGATTATTGAGACTGAGCACGAGTTATGTGAAAGGTGGTAAACGGATGTTTTGATATAATTATGCCACAAACACAGGCCCCATTTACTTCCATTCATTCAACATTTCAACCATTTGCTGTTTCTTATACATTGATTCTTTGTTCACAAACAAAGCATGCAAAGAGCAAAGTTTTCTATACCAATTCAAGGGTCCACAGGGTAGGTAACTGATATTTAAATGGGAACTATGGAGGTGAAGGATTCCTTTAAATAGTCACTAATGGTCCAAATCTTATAAAAGTATGCTCTTATGCAGCCCTTCAGTCACACATTTATATGTGTGTGTGTGTTTGTGCAGTGAATAATCACACACATTGGAATGCATCTATGTTAGTGTACTTATGAGGATTGAGTTGTTCTTAATAGTTTGTATGGCGCCAGCGTCTGAGGTCTCTCCACTGGGACCATCCAGTTGAGAGCCTGCTCACAATACAGCAGTGACGTCATCAGGACAGTCATTGTGTACTTCAGTTATTATGGGTCACTAAGGGCAAATCATGCACCATGTGTTTCACTGTATGGCAATAATACGATCCCCTGTTATGATGCTGAGAAGATTCTGTTGTCAAAGAACAGAGTGAAGGGATGTTCTCAATTTGTCCTTTATTAGATTTGACACGTTAACGCTTGAACATTCATGGGGAACTTTTGTTTCAGTGTTGTCCAGGGGCGTTTCCTGGACCTGGAAACATTTGGGGCTTAGCCCACAGTTCATTAAGGTACATTAAGGTACTGCGCTACAGTGGAATTTTCTACTGCAACACTCCCCACAAGCACATACACAGTACACCTGCGACTGTTACAATGGAGGCTCGATAATCAGCTCACGGCATATAGGTGTAAGCAGGGGTAAAGTGCTATTTTTTATAAGTGGGGGGCGGACCTAACCTCCTCTAGGGGGGTCCTCACCTCCTATAGGGCGGTCCTCACCTCCTCTAGGGGGGTCCGGGGGTATGCTCCCCCAGGAAGATTTTTTTTTAAATATTGAAGTTAAAAGCATCAAGCTGGTGCACTTTGAGAGCAAAATTAAGAGACATGGATACATCTTTCAACACCCATATGAAACAGAACTGTAAACAGATTTACTTTTTCTTTATGGATATTTTACAAATCACTCCCCTGTGACTATGTAATGTAAGGCAGCTTCTAGCTTCATGTCGAACACTGACAGTAAGTCAACATTTTCCAGAGAGCTTTCTTTGAAATCACCAGGTAACGCTAAAAAACATAACATTTATATTGTATGACAAAGTGTTAATTTAAAGGGCCCATGTCATGGCCATTTCCACTGATCATAATTACATTGTTGAGGTATACTAAAATAGATTTATACTGTGCAATTTTCCAAACTCACATTGGTTTCGCATACAGCATCTCTGTCAAGCATGTGTATTCAGCAGTATTCACTTTCTCCACTAAACGACTCGTTGGAGCTCTTGCCCCCCCCTCCCTGTGAGCCTAGTGTGCTCCGATTGGTCAGCTCAGCCACTCTGTTCTGATTAGTCAACCACCAGAGAGGCTCCGCCCGCTTTTTTCGGGGAACATCAGTGTAATGGTACAGCTGATATTTTATACTAACTAACCGAACTGAACCTACAACTGTTGTTATAGAAGAGTGTGACGGCCCCAGGGCCTTTGTGCAGGTGTGTTGCAGGGCTTACGGTGGGGTGGAGCTGAAGAGGGTAATCAGCGCGATCACGGACACCTCCGTAGCCGGTGCTATTAATCCCAGCGGCCCGGAGTCTCTCTCCAAAGCGGCTGCAGAAGGACGAACTGAGCGACCCTCTCCCCTCGACCACCTATCTCTGCATTTACCACAATAAATGTGCCGTGGTTTTGTAAACTCGTGTATGTCTCCTTGCCTTTCCGTTGTGGCCTACGAGCCGACATAACAAAGAGTAAGTTATTTTTACCTGTAATAAACTACTACTGTTTGATGAGAAATCAAATCATGGTTTGCTAATATATGAATTCAGGGAAGAAAGGATAGGCCTACTAAGTATTTCCATTAAACTTTATTTTTTGAAATGTACAAAATGAACATAAATATACATATATACACACGGTATATCATCCATTCCTCCTCCTCTTGCCTGCGCACAGCCGGTGCGGTGCGGTGCCTTTTAGCACGAGGCCTCAGTAGTAGTAGAAGTCCCGTCCCCGTCATGGATTGTCCGCCAGGATCTGGCTGGACAAAATCAAATGCAAATCACAAAATATTAGAGAAACTTAGTTGTTTTAGATTCGTTAGTAGTAGTTGTGTAATGAACAGCTTGCCTGCTAATATGCTAACCTAGCTTTGTTTACCTTGGTAGCTAACACGATATGAACGTTAGCTTGGAGGAAAGGCAACTATAATGCAGTGTAATAAAACTACTATGAACAAAAGCTAGTGGTTCATATTAGGCTAGCAATAACGTGTTTATAATTGCAATCGTATACGGGTATTCTGCTACCATACAATGTAACTTGCATGAATACATTGTTTTGCGCTAGCATACAGCTAGCCTCGTTAGCTACATGCAATATAT